TGGTTGCAGGAAGGTGTTTCACAAGGTTCACACCCAAGCTCTCAAAGCACATTCATTCACCAAATTCACACTGGCTGGTTCATGTCAACAGAAAATTAGTCCACTGTAATGCGTTACTAGAGACCAAAATCAGTGACTGTCACGCTCAATGCGTTTTCTAATTAGCGACCAAGCAAACATAGCAAGTTTGCTAAATGTCCATTGGCTTATCAGCTCAAAGAGCTTTATTTTCCAACATCAATATTGTCTTATTTAATGTAATTGTGCCCAATGCTGAACAAAATGTTGGTTCAGAAGAAATGGAAAGGGAAACCTATTATGATTGACAAGCAGTGTTGCGCTGGCTAGCAAGTTGATAGTTAGCTTCCCAGCTGTCAGTAGTCAGTTTGGGGTTTGACTACCGCAATTAGGCCGTGTCTATGGTGAAAGTCAAACTAAAGTATTTTCAAATCTACTTTTTGAGTCGCTACACACAAGCAGGTTTTCTTTTCCATCTTCTCAGCTGCGCTAACCTAACTAGCTGCTGGCTGTATGTGTGTCTTTTCAACTCAAATGGGCTCTAAAGCTTAGCACGAAATTGACTGCCTAGAAATGTAGAGCATGCTCTGGTTTTGCAGGATTACTTAGGACATTCTTAAGCAGGAACGTTCAGAGAAAGAAAATCAACATTTTTTCAACCAATTTAAATATATCTTCCGATTTAAAGTGCCTTTTGGGGCCCTTAAAGGTGACTGGAGGTGTGAAAAACTGCGTGAATGATACTGTAGGTATGACGCAAAAGAAATATAGTACTGCCCAACGGCGTAACCACGCATTCTTTGGGGGGGCTTGTGTCCCCCTCAATATTGAGAAAATACCAATCTGCCCCCCCACCCCCAATATACAGCAAAAAATATGTAAAATATGTTTCATTCCGGCAGCGGGACTTTGAGTGTCCGCTTGCTCCGCTCAGCGGGGCAGCATGGTGGGCACCAGGCTGACTAGCGGCTGACGAAGCAAAGCCACACGAAAAGCCTCTATGACGTCCCCCCAATGTCTAAAACATGGTTACACCCTTGGTACTGCCTCTTAGGAAAGCTTCTAGTGTGTTCAGTCAGTAAGGATGAGGGGGTCGAACAGTGAATCCACAAATCCCTACAGGCTCAGTGTTGTTACAGGGTGTAGCCGCACCCCTTTACATAATTTAAATGTTTTAAACTGTCTTGAACTGCAATAACTAATAATGATGAGGGAACTAAACAGTCTGACCTCTGCCCTCCCATGTCAGCCGGTTAATCACAGAATGTCTGAATATAAATTACAGCCTCCATTATGGAAAACATCTGGAAACTCAAGTATCTTATTTGTGATTTATGTTTCCTAACGTCTTTGTTTTTAAGCCCCTTGCAGCAATTGCTGTTGACCTAGCAACGGAACAGAAACATTATCAGCAGACTATTAAACAGTATTCAAACACGAGGTGGCTTGTCTTCAAGATCGCTGGCAGGAAATGTTTTCTTTTTCAAATTGTGTTAAACCCCCCGGTGATATAAAAAGAGGACCACAAAGAAAGAGGGCAAGTGGTTGAAAAGTAGAAAAGTTTACTCAGACCAAGGTGCAGGATGTCTCCCTGCTGATGTCTTTTCATAATCACTGTGTTTACTCTTCTGGTTGATTGGATGGCAGTTTACTGGATTGCTGCCGTGTTATTGGGCCAGCTCCTGAGAGAAACATTAAACTAACTTAAAATACACCCGTCTAGTTATTCTGTCCCACTATTCCCTCATGTAATGTGACAAGTCAAAAAATTGGAAGTCACAAGCGTCCAGTATATTGAGTTTATTTGTCTCCCTCACCACTATTGTCCTAGTAGATGCCACAACGTCCTTTGGTAAAGATGGACGCTGTTTATCCAGCCAAAGCCCCCAGGCTCAGTGGTTACTGCGTCTCACTGCTGGCACAGACGCATCATTCCCCGCTTAATTCCTCAGTATTTAAAAGCTTTGTTGGGCGCAAGCCGTCTCCTCTAATTGTTTGCCGTTTTTGCGGAGGGACGGGAGGTTTGTAGAAGTGTGTTTGTACACATCACTCCGTGGTTGCAGCTGAAAACAGCTCCTCCAGAGAGGCTGTTGGCGCCATTATTTACACTTTGCTTTTGCGCATGTCAATGTTATAGCCCTTTATTGAATGTTCAGCGCTGATCAGCAGGGGTAAATTAATGAGCGGCCCCTGACCAACAGATCTCAATTATGGATTTCAGAGCACTCCTCCCTGTGCGGCTGAAATACCCAGCTCCATTTGCCTGTTAATTGTGTAATTAGAGATTAAATCAATAATTAAACCACCAACAGGGACATGCAGGGTAATATTCTCCTGTTCGGCTCATTTGCTAAATTGCAGAAACATTTTTGTTAATGATGGGCTAATGCGCAATCTGCAATATTTAAAAGAATAACAATTACAATTTAAACTGTTGCCTTAGTTGCACCAGTGCTGTTAAGGAAATTCTAAGTATTGTTCTGCTAAACAAAGTGGATATGTTGCAGCTAAAAAATAATTTCCTTTGGGGGTTAGGTGGAGAATAAAGCTGAGCATAATAGGGAGTGAATATTGCATTTATATTCATCAGGTAGCCAAAAACACAACTCAAAATGATTATTATGGATCTTAGGAAGCAACCTTATTGTCTGAAAAGTGAAACCTAAGCAATGTGTTAAGAATGTATTCTACACATGTAGAAAGACCTTCTCACCAAATTGTTTACCTGAGTTTGTGATCTTAAACTGATCTGTTAGATGTTAATTTAGTAAATGATGGTATATTTACACCATAAATCAGGGTATGCTAGCGTGTGATTGACAGGTTACTACTACAGCATTGTATGGTCTGCGGTTTTTCAGAGTTTTTGTCTTACAACTTTAGCCCCTCTACAGTGTGTTTTTGATTAATGAAAGTCGATTATAACATTTTGAGGGGCTATAAAATTGCTTATTCAGCTTTTGTTTAGACCATCTCAAATTATTTCTTGTTGCAAAAATACAAGATGGTAAAGGCCACGGCAAAGGCAACGGTGCCTGCTTAGAACACTCAGTCTGGAAACCAATTGGTAAATTATGGTTCCTCCATATGAATGTGTGAGACATCTGCTTGTTGCTGATATGTACATGTACAGGCTAAACAGTTAACTGGAACATTCATATCAATAACACTCCTGCATTTAATATTTGCCTACCGGCAATTCATCACAAGGCACTTGTTTTTCTTTTTCTTTTTAGTTGAGCGACAGTTGGCGAGTGTCGAGCACAGTTGTCCTCCAAACAGATGATTGGCGAGTTGATCGCAGGTCCTGCTGACCCGCATTTCGATGTGTCCTACAGCAAGACACTTAACCCAAACATTGCTACTATGTGAATGTTAGTTACTGATGGGCAGGTGGCACTGTGTAAGGTAGCTCCTGTCATCAGGGGGCGTGAATGGGTGAATGATGACATGAAGTGTTAAAGCGCTTTGAGTGGTCGCAAGACTAGCACTTATTCAGTCACTTTGGATAAAAGAATCAGCTGAATGACATGTAATGTAATGTAGGACCCATTTACAATTTTCTAAAATCATTGAAATCTGGTACAGTGATCCCTCGCCACTTCGCGGTTCACTTATCGCGGATTCGCTATTTCGCGGATTTTAATAATGCATTTTTTTTTTTTTTGGTGCATTGTGCTCTGCATTCTGATTCGCTAAAAACTCACTCCCGAGCCGTTCATTACAGTTCTCCAACGTAATCGATGGTGGCATGTCGGTGTAGAAGGATCTTTTTGCAAAGAAGAAAAAAGAGCGACAACAGCTGCCTATCACTATGTTCTTCTCCCGAACAAACACACCTGCACCGCGGGCTTCAGAAGAAGAGAACACTGCAGAGCGCAGTCAGGATGCAGCGGCCCAGTCTGAAGAGCAGTGAAACGGCCTACACGCGAGTCACTGTATTTGTATACATGTAATAGTTGCTAATTGTAAAAAAAAAAAAAGTTTTCTATTTCGCGGATTTCACTTATCGCGGGTCATTTTCGGAACGTAACCCCCGCGATAAACGAGGGATTACTGTATTGGCATGGAGCTCTCGTGTTTCAGATTTGAATAGGTATGGATTAAAACTTTTGGTACAAGCACAAATCCACATATAACTTGTTGAAACACAGCCTGTTGCTCCTTTCAAAAGACCTCCAGGCAGTTTGGTGATAAGCATTACCTCCTAACACAATGCTTGATTTCTTATTTTTGTGACAACCTTTCCCAATTATGTTAATAAACAATCATTTGCCCTTGTTTTTGGTCTGTCCCATAAATGTTTGACAAGCCAGCCGTATTGAGGAGGAATGTTATTTTTCACTTTTCAGACTTTCTCAGGTACAACATCGGTCACTGATCCTTCAATAAATAATGGGTTATACCACAGTTTCTCATGCAGTGCAGCCTCTTGACATAAATATGAATACCCCTTTGACTTGACATGGGGTAACAAGACATTTGACAGCTTCGACAGTCATAGGGCTGATGGTGCTGCATTCTGCCTATATATTTTGGTAGAGTATGATACGCTTTTAAATCTTACCAGGAAGAGGAATTATTTGGTTCCAACTGTCCATAAGAAATTGTATTTAGCAATCTTAGTGTGACCAAATGGACACTTAAAATACTTTGGAAATAATATCCAGACGTGACAACACCACTCTTTGGAGGGGAGAGACCCTGAATTCAAATCATCTTACTGGCCAAAAACCCCATACAACGTAGATCATAAACAGACAAAGGCTTCTGCGTGTACAGTGCAATATCACCTTTTATTTAAACAATAACTTTATAAAACCACATCCAAATAATTTATACCAGTAGTGATTGACCGGGGGAAACAATGACACTTCCAACAATAAAAACACTGCACACTGCTAAGAAAGGCTAAAATAGACAACACTACAAACCAACACACACAAATAAGGTTAAAGATCCTGGTTAAAAAGACACAACACAATAGAAGTGGGGAAGGGGGAAGCAACGGTCATCAAAAAGGCACAATATCAGTTTGTTATTTCTATAAAGAGAGAGAGAGCAAGATGGAGGCACTAGAGCATAATCTAAACAAAAACTATAGTCGGAGAAAAAGAGCAGTGGCTGCCCTGCTGGCCACTCCGTGTCACCAGTTCAGCCTGCAATGTACAAAACAGCCATTAATCACAGAGTACCCATCATCCTTCTCATTACAAAACGCATAATGTGCTTGCAAGCCCAACTTCCTACCTCCTAGGCCCAATGCACCGGTGCACCAGTAGGTAGGACCCTGGACTTACCAGGTCTGGTTCAGGTCTGACCTTCTACCATAGGAAAGAACATTATGTTAATCTCCCCATGGCCTAAAGGATGTAGATTAAAATTGCACAACCTACCTCCTTAGTATAGTTTGCTCACCCACACGGTACTGGCGAGCAACAAACAGCGCAACCCAGACTTCAGCACATGCCGGACAACAAGAACAAACATGAGTTGCTCAACTCTCACGGGATCTCCTTCATATGGAGAGGCTCTCCTTGAGTTTAAGCCTCCCGCTCTATGCTGAGGCTCCCAGGTCCTAAGGTCCCACCTTTCACATTAGCTTGGACGTATACAGGAATCAAGCCCCATATGCTGTACTTGGGCGCACATCTGTGCCTGATGCCCAAGGAGAAATCCTCTGGCAGTAAACACTCTGCAAGATACTGCAAAGAAGGAAAGGAGAGGAAGTAAGAAATAGCGTGCATTATTATGCCGCCCGGCAACAAATATCCATCCTAATTGCTCCACAATTGTATTAAAACTAGCTATTATGTAGGAATTTAATTTGTTTAAGCCCCGGCTCCAGTTACAGTTTTCAGTGTGACTAATTAAAAACAAGGGAGCAGGAAAACCCCAGGCAAATGCTCCCCCCAAGCCTGAGCTCCAGCTCCCCTGCCATGACTGTATTTAGAGTGTCAATCACAGGCGGAGTCGGAGGCAAGTCATTCAGGCAGCCTTTTTGATTCAACCTATTCACTCAAGTCCTTTAACTAGACTGTGTATTGTTGCAATTACCAATCATTCAATTCATTTTCGTAGAATTGGTAGGGCAGCGGCCTTTTTCACTCCCAAGCTGTGTTTCCACATATATTCATATACATGTTCAAGAATCTAGAAGTCTATATGTTTCCCATTGAACCATCTGCAGTAATGCTTTAATGAAGGCCCATTTAGTGGGCTTTGCCGGCAACTTTGAGGCTGTTTCTGCCCTCCTGCTCAGATCATTAGAGGTGAGATACAAGCTTATGAACTGAGAGTTCAATAATGAGCCGAGAAATGAAGGGAAAATTAATTGGACCCCGGTAAAGAAAAGATTAACATAGATGGATTAACCAGTCTGTTTGACTTTTTAGCAGTTATTAAATTGTTTAAGGGGGGGGGGGGGGGGTTGCATTGAAATTAGCATGACTTATCGCAACAGCTGCTAAAACTAAATCAAATTCTTACTATGCATAATGTTGTACATGTTCTAAGCAATACTGCTTTTTTTCCGTTAAAGTTATTTGATTTATATATTAGCTTGTAAAATAATTAGACATGGAACGTTCAACTAGCTCTACTGATCGTTCTGGCTTTGTCTTCTTTTATGAAACTCTTCTGGAGAAAAGATCTAGCTAATCAATAACAGTTCATGTCTTCAGGATTTAGAGCTTTTTTGCAATTAACGGCTTCTTGCGTATATATTCAACAATGACGCTACGTTGAGCAGAGGGGAACTACTAGTTTTATAAGTATGAGCGTTTCATTTCATTTTATCACATGATACAATGACACAAAATAGTTCAAAAAGCCAGCCAGACTTACACGTTTGGCTAACATTAGCTTAGCACCAGTGACTTCACAGAGTATTTCTGAGGTCCCGTTTATTAAAGACAGTACATACCCTCCAACTACAAACATTTTCTTTCTTTATCTTAAAACCTTTACTTTTAAGCTTACACATCTTGAACCACCATTTCCATATAGACATATCAGTAACCATAATGTCGGTCTCACATATATTATGAAAACGTACAACCGTACTGTAATGTAGCTCAGTCCTGTGGAGTGAGTTACTGGAACCAGGTGTGGATGCCAGAGGCAGTCAGTCCCCAACCAGCTGTATGTCAGGGCGCCGCTCTCACGGACACACTTCAGGCCTTTGAGGCTCTCAGTAAACCAGTTTGGGGGATCTCAGACCGACCATGACATAAGCAGAGAGCAACTCCATCTTTTTGGACACGGTTATCCTGTACAGTGCTGCTTTAAAAGCAAACAGTAAAAGCACAGAAATCCTCTTAGACTTAGAGTCCGAAGCTCAATCATACAGCATAATTCCAAAATCTTCAGGGAAAGTCACTGGCTGCGAAATTTAAAGTAATTAAAGATTGGAAATGATTAATGGCCATTCACAGAAGCACTTAAAAGCTCACATCCACAGCAGTCACTGCAGTTCCAGCTGTCACACAATCAGCACAGTTTGCAAAGTTTGCGTTGAAGCAATAGTGAGTGTAAATCGAACTCATGAAAGCTCCATTGTTTTTAGGGGTTTGAGCTGCTCCATGTGGTTGTTAAGGAGTGCGTGCAGTGTTTCGTCCTGTGAGGACTGCAGTCTGTCTGCCAGACGTAACCACAGCCCCATGTCTACTTTCTTCTCATTGTACCCAATTACTACGTTTGTTTTGGGGGGGATATGCTAGAAATCCCCCCTTAATCTTCGGCAAACTACAGTCTCTCTCTAGCATTTAGTGAGAGTGACAGTAAGGAAGTGTCAGGATGGAAAGGAATTTGGAGACGTCAATCACAAAAGTTAAACACACAACAATCTCATGCCATACCAAAAAAGAAAGTGTTTCAAGTGGATTTTGTAACATGCATTTAGAATCAAAACATCATGTTTAAAACAACATTTCAATCAGTGAAATGGTAATCAAGCTGCATAATGTCTTTTCTGATTGTATTTCATTTGATGCAGCCAGGGAGCACAACACAGGGTTCTCGAATGTTATCTTTTGGAAGGTGTAGCATGGAAAACTAACTTTTTATTGCCACGTTATACACGGCCAGGAATCAGGTGTTGAACGTAGTGGTGGCAGGATGATAACATATTAACCCCTAAAGATTGATGATGCTCGTCCTGGATTTAACTCCTCCGGGGGATTAGTGAGCTATGCCAAAGTTCCTTGTTGAGATGGGGAAACTCACACCGGGATTAGTAGTTAATACTTACGACTGCTGCTGACGGACATAGCCAGGGAAGTTTGGATGCCTTCTACTCTCTCTTCCTCTCCCCCTCTCCATCTCTCTGGATCTCTCCCCCTCCCATTTCGTTACATTTCTTGGTATCGATTGCCTGCTGCCTTTTGAATAATGCATTCTGCAGCTCGGTTTCGAGGGCTCCCTGGTGGGTTTGTCAAAGGCAAAAGACACATGTAGTCGGGCAGTGTGGCTGGGAGAATCAGAAATCCATACAGGTCACAATCATGTCACCCCATCAGTTTTAATCAGCCAAAGCCGAATACAAGCTGGTGACAGGACTTAGAGGTATAGGAGATGTGCCTCTGCCTCGGCTGCTCCCCTGACACACGGGATCTGGTTCAATACTGCTGGATGCCGCTGACAGAGACTCATTATGATCTTAGTGTGGCTCGCGGCTGGGCTGAATGATGAGACGACGTATGCTGGTCCGGGCCTGTGCTCGACAGTGTGTTCCCGTGCCGCGGTGCAATTTGGGCCTGATCGCTTTATCAGATTGTTGCGGGATTTATGCTGGATGTAATTAAGTATTTTGTTACTGTACTGTGGCTTACTGGCTTGAGCAAGATTATGCCAAATTTGACACCATTTTTTCTGAGAAAAGAATATTTGAAGAAGATGTTGAGTATTATATTAACTTACTTTATCAGGCTTATTGCACAAACAAGAAATATAACTCTGTGCAAACTCTGTTAACCTTGTGCAAAAATGACATTGTCAGTAATGGACGCACAGCAGATTGTGTTGCGGTCGTTTCCTGCCGCAAATCTTCCCACGCAAGGGCGAGTCTCCAAAGGAGGCAAGTGTTCTTTTGATGAAAACAGTCACGGCGCTCCGAGTGTCGCAAACCTAAAGGAGAGAAAACACAACGGGGTCAAAAGAGCAAATCCGGCCTTCTGTTCTTGCTGCCTTTATTGTGAGGTTTGCACAAGGCGCGGTGTGATTTCCTCAACACCGCCGATGAAAAGAGGCTTGATTTTCACAGGCCAGCTGACCTGCTAAGAGCAGGTGTGTCGCAGATACAGTTTCAGACTTGTTTTCGCTCCACTTCCCAGCTGACAATACTGCTGCAGTCACCACAGCTTGTGGTGCTTATCAGAATTAAAATAGAGGCTCATCAAGAGTTCACCTGAATCTTCTTTTTTGTCCTTTGTCAGAGAATCTCCCTGTCTCTCAACGAAGAAATAGTTATGAGAAGATCAACTAAAAACTAACATCAATCACTAAGCTTTGCTTTTTCTCAGTTAACCGTTTTTGTTGAGAAACAAAACATGAAGCGACTGATCAGCAAAACGCTTTCTCATGTTTTCCCCCCTGGGCTTTGGAGGGGAAATACCTGATCTCTTTCTGTAAAGGGATATCAGTAAAATGAAAGTCTGTTTTCAAACCGTAAGGATTATTGTATGGAAATGAAGGGTACAAACAAAGGGTTGAAACGTCTTTTTTTTATGAAGCCGTCAAGTGAAAGAAGGGAGTTCTGCTCGGAAGGCAGCATTTCACTGTTTAAAGTGTAATCACTGGTTGTATCCACATAACTATGTCATCATTGTCTGCCTGTTGTGACATTTAATGTAAGCAGAAACAAGCCTGGGAAGGAGCCAGAGACACAACATCCTCTGCCATGGAGTGGCTCCCTCTGACCCTACACTCTGAATGCTCAAAATAAAACCACACACGGACAAATCAAAACTGGAATGTTTGTCCAGACTGTTATCTCAAGCTGTACATTTCCTTTTGAGTTGTGCAACTTGCGCAGGGTGGTTTATGTTTGGGCCTGTCAGACTCATTATGAAGCCTTCAGGAGGACGTGCACAGCTCACTTCCCTCGGCAGACTCCCGAGACGTTTGTAGCAATAAAGTATAACCAGACTGTTACTTTAACCTCATTGTAAAACAGCGGCATAGAACCGCATTTTTTTGTAGAATCAAATGCTGCTCTGAAACGAGTTATTCTTTTGAAAACAAATAATTTACTTAATTTGCCATGCAAATATTCCTCTATCACAGCTTTAAGTAAGCGGTTTTTGAAGTACAAAGTTTGACCCGTTGTTTTAAACGGTTTGATAAATGAAGGAGCACGTCTTTTTTAGACATTGCGGAATGTGCTCACCTACACACGCTCACAAAGAGAAGCAGCATTGGACAATAAACTGTGGCGCGGCCATTTCTCTGTCCCCACCTCTCACGTCTCACATGACTGCTATGACTGCATCTTCTGTGGTTCTTCCCAAGGTTGCTGCTGTTCGCGCTGTTCTCACTGTGAGCATTGTTAGCTGTTAACTACCAGCTCAGATACCTCTTTGCTTAGAGAGAACCCCAATTACTCTTGGTTCCACAACATAAGAAAAGTTGGTTAAGTTAGTAGTTTCTAAGTAAACGGTTACAGTTTTTGACAGGAGCAACAAAGAACTGTAAAAAATAGAGGAATGATAAACATTTACAGCCGGGGCAACTAGCCTGGTTGGAAAGACTTGAAAAGGAGCCCTGCCATTTTCCTTTCTGCATCACGTTTTGGGAGTAATCCTTCTGCCTCACCGCTCGGTCTGGTGTAGGCGGATCTGGGAAATCACCCTTTCTTGGCGAGTACGTGCTGTAGAACAAGCCTCTCTCCTATTACAAAAAGCTGGTCGTAATAAGCGTCCAGGCTATATCAGTGCTGTATTCAATTTCCTCAGATCTTGAAAACACCACTGTTAAAGTAACTGAAATTTACGGCTTCGCCCCCTCAGGTTTTCTTAAATGGAGATTCCCTTGTGTTCATTCCTTTACTCCTGCCAGAAATATTGCTTTGCACTCTTCAGTGGGCCTGTGGGAGAATTATGGAAATTTTACACTAAGAAGTTTAGAAGCAGTGTAATTGGAGTTGGGCCAGGGTGAGACTCCCCCACCTCCCCCGTGTCCTGCAGCATCAGAGGCCCCTGAGCCACTTTAAGATCTGCATGCTGTACATGCAAGCTTTCTTAATTGGAGCAGGCTTAAGTCAAAACGGGTAAAACTCAAAAGAGTGAAAATGCATATGCTATCATGCAGTTCAGGAACGTCCCAGAGGTGTCATACTAAATTAAACATTTCTCAATTTATTAATTTAATTTAGTTTACCATTAACACTATCAGTAGTGGTGAACAATCAAATGTCAAGATTTATTTGGGAACTGTTCTGGTTTTAGATTATATCCCATCAAATTTGTTTTCATTTTTTTCTTAGCTCTTCGAAAGATTTTTTTTGCTTTCTTGTTGAAACTGAAAATATTATTACAACTCTATTATCTGTCCGTTCATCATCCATGTGGTGGTGCAATAGAATTTCCTTTCACCTCGCCCCTCCTAATAGCTCATTCCCGTTTTCCGTCAGGACATTTGTAAGAATTGAAGTGCTAAATACAACATTGGGAGCATTTGTATTGCCTTTAACGGCAATTGGCAAAGCTAACTATGTTCTGGTGTAGCTTGATATTTAAAGGGTAGTTTCAAAATTCATTTTTGACCTTCCAAACTAATAATAGTTGATAAAACAATCTCAGTTAGATATAACTAACTATAATTGTAGTTGAAAAACCTAATAGCAACAACATTTTAGTACAATTGCTGCGTCATATATTGCTATAAGTCTAAAAACCAAGCCCCTCATATCCGCAGCAAGCACGAAAAAAGCACATCTTCATCATGGAGTATTACGAATCTGCATATTACTTTTTTAGGAAGTAGACTGAAATAGGAGAAACGTGTTTTCACTAAATGTGAAATGAGTATTAGCCACATGTTAGCCTTTCTACATTTGTGGCTGTAACCTTAATACGATAAAGCACCATGACATGAAGGTGAGAATGCAGGAGCTACCCGCCCCTCTGGCTCTCTGTTATGATTCATACTATCGCTGATCATGATGCAATGCCCTGCAAAGTCAACCACTGCAGCAGATCATCGGAGGAGTACAGTGGAGTACGGTCTCATGACCTGCAGGATTCTGTCCATGTAAGTTTGGATCGACAGAAGATGACAGCCGCAATCTTTTCTCTTTTTCTGTTTGTAGTGACATCTACTGACTGCAGCAGCGGGAAAAAGACTCACTCTACTACTTCACTCAACTCAATAAGAGAACCGGCCAGCCAAATCTACTAATTCCAATAAAGGGGAATGAATATTGATTTGTCAAAAGTGGAGAATTGTGCGCATTAAGATAATATAGTTAGACGCTGGCCAAGGAAATGGGGACATTAGACCAGTGTGATCACAACATGTCAATCAGTGGTTATTTCTCAGGTGATTCTATAAGTGGTGACCTCTGTGCTTGGTGTTGACACATAACATCAAATAGGTCTGCAAGTAAAGACAGTGAAGCTTTGTCCTTTATGAACTTAAATTGGCTTAAACTCTCCATAAAAAGGTAAGACACAGCAACCTTTGCAAACGTGCATTGGCTCTTATTGATTATGATATCAGCACGTATTATAGTGGAGAAATAAAAAAAAAATTCATTGGCCAAGTTTAAAGACGCAAGGAATTTCCTCCAGGTTTGTCAATATACTTAAATTGATTGCCAAGAATACGTTTGTCTGAGGATTTCCCCCTAACAATTCCGGGCTTAACAAAACAAACTTACCTAAGCAAACATTACGGATGTCACTGATAAAATCACATTCACATCTGAGTTTCAGGATATGACTCAGAATAAGTGACCTTACTACCTGACTGTTTAACATAAGGGAATATGATACAAACTGAGTTCACATCTGTAACCTTGGTCAAATGGCCAGATCATTCTCGCTGTATGCTTATAAAACGGGAATCATTTGGGAATTTCTACCAAGGGGACCCTCGTTATCTGCCTCTGTAGAGCACTCAAAGTCCCGGACTGAATGTGAATGGATGAATGGAGCCAGCTGATCTTTTGCTAGTGGAAAAACAGGATATCGGAGCCAGGGCGAGGGCCCCAGAGCATCATGGATCTGACGTTACAAAGAAGCCCCGTGGTACAAATCACAAACGCACAAGCAGGATGTTGGTGCTCTTTGCTCCAACCGACCCGTGTCTCTTTCACAACAGCCTGCTTTCCAGGGAGCAGTTACTCCAGCAAGCGACTTCTTTCCGGTCGTTTGCAAGAATAACGGCACACAGAGGCCAGAACTCGGCCTGTTATTCCTAGCAACCGCCTGAGCTGCTCAGCCCATTACTGAGAGTTTTGGATGCCCTTGAAGCGTTGAGCCCTGAGTGGGATGGCTCAGTATTTGCTACCAGGCATTAAATGCATATTAAGGTGATTTCTTCTCTCCACACCACTTGATCTTTAATGAGCGACGTCTCAAGGCCATGATTAAAATAAACCGAGCCCTATTGATTGGCCATTGAAATGTCGGTTCCTGAAAGCCTCAACGTCAATACGTTCAAATGTATAATTTATACATAGAGCGATCAAGTATTATCAGACGTAGCACTTACATTACACCCTATTTTTCCCAGCACACCTTCTATTTTGACTGAGTATTGACTTTCCAGAAACACAATAATCTGCAGGCTGCTGGTAAAACATGCAGAGCCATCATCGGCCTTTCAACAGCTCCTCAAGTCAGCTGACTAGCACATTGCCAGGCGCCTCACTTTATAATTTATTAACGCATGCTGTCTCCGAGAGCAAGTGCTACTGACACTAAGAATCAGCCTTTTTTTGAGACTGCTGAGGCGAATCTGACATTGGACCTGTAAATTCCTGGTTATGTAGCTTCACAGGCAATATAATACCTGTAAGCTATGTTTGTAAAGCATCAAAATACAAACAAGTTCATCGCCAACAGAATTTGGAGTAGTGGAATTTGGAGCAGTGGACACTTTTGGGAAGCTGAGCATGTGCACGT